TTTGAGGTGAGATCATTTTTAAACATAAGAATTACTATGTCAACCTTGATTCTGCTGTCAAAGCTTTATGAAAATATGGGTATCTTAATTCTTACCAGTTCAAAAGGTCAACAGTTCAAAACTAATTAGTTGCACATTTCTTGAAGAAGTTCCCAAGTTTAGAAACGCACTTATCTAACTATCAAATGGGCGAAATGGTTTGATATATTGAAACTGTAGATGAGGCCACAATGCCAATAGAATACCTTCCTCATGCTATGGGAAATGGAATGAAGCAATGTTGTCTCTGGATAAGACAATTGTGCTTAAAACAACATGATTAGCTAATAATATTAAACTACAGATCCCAACACACATATTATATGGATAGAGGACGCTGAAGCAAAATTGAAGGCACTCCGTGACATTGAGGAAGGTTTGTCTCTTCTTTATCTGGCTTTACATTTTTATTTGTACCATTATCTTACTCGGATTCCATTTTGGAAGTCGTTTAGCTGACTTTACCATTGGCACTGATTTTTCCTGATATTTGATGAAGTCCCATTTCTTATTTGGAATCCTGTAGGGGAAGAGCTTCGAATATGCTATATCGATGCCAGCATGAGTTATGATGCTAGACAAAATATCTTGTCTCGAGGGTTTGGTTTCAAGTGCAATTGTCAAAGATGCTTGTCTGGCGATTAGGGGCTGTATGATCTTTACCTCTGACATTATGACTGTTTTGGTATTTTTAGTGGAAGGTTGGAAGCTATAAAAGGGATGTGCTCTAACTTGGATATATTTACTTTCTTTGCTTTTATTAAGAGGTTAGGGTTTTTCTTGGGTATTAAAAGAGTTCCTCATAGGCACCTAAATTGAAACAAAGAGTTTGTAATTGCAAGTTTTAAACAAAAGAAACGAGAAAATTTGAATTCAGATTGGGAAATGCTGTGAATTATCCCATCTGTTTTTTTTCCTTCACGGTTGTTAAAAGGGGAGAATTTGAATTTGCAGTGGTGCAGCATTTTCTTAGCCAAATATGATTTTTTTTATTATTATTATTTTTGAGGTAAGAATTTTTGGAGATAAAAATCATTTTCATTTCTTGAAGAAAATGAGATTACAAACGCAGACCCGTATATCGCTACACGATTAGCTACATTACCGAAACGTTAATTTATGAGTCAACAAACTCCTTTCTCAACAAAAAAATCCAGTAAAATCTTATTACAACAAATCCCTTTCCCAACAAACAAATCCAGTGAAATCTCATTACAATTAAAATACAATCTTTATGCCCAAACATCTAAATGAAAATTCAACCCAAACTAGAAACTATACCTTAAATAAATTAGCTACCTACCAAATAAACAAACAAATTATAAAGAAACTCACATTCCGTGAGAGTTGAAGCTAAAACCTTATAGTTTAGGTAGGTTAGAATTAAAAGTCTAGTACTCTAAATGCCTGATGGCATGATTTTATTATTATTATTTTACTTCCAAAATATCAATACTGATTTTTGAGGCATGATTTTATATTATTATTATTATTATTATTATTATTATTATTTTACTTCCAAAATATCAATACTGAACGAAAATGAAGTAAAAAATAAAAATGCGTTTTCGGGAGTCGAACCGGAGTCTATTGCTTAGAAGGCCATTAATTATCCTAACCGTTGGACTACAAACGCACCTGCTAAGATTTTCGTATTTTAGTTTTTAAAAACTAAAATATTTTACTGCTATGTCAAAGTACCTAATTAGTCCCTGTACTATTGAAAAACGATCAATTTAGTCCCTCCATTATGAAATCTGTCAAAATTTAGTCTCCCTACTATCAAAAAGAGATCAATTTAGTCCCTCCGTGAAATGGGACAGTCAAGTGTGCTGATGTGTCCGTTAAGTTGACTGACTTTGATGATGTGGCCCAATCATATCATGCCATGTCATAATTAATTAATTTTTAAAAAATAAAAAATAATTTCTTTTTCGAAATTCTGAAAAATATTTTTTTAATCATTTAATAATTAAAAAGTAAAAACTAACGGTGAGCCCCACAAAAATAAGGATTGAAATTCTTTATATTTTCTCTCTCACTCTTCGACGTTTTCTGTCTCATTTTCCCTTTCCCTTTCTCCTTCCTCCTCCCCATGGTTTTAATTTAGGTTTGAGAGGAGTTGACAAAAAAGAAATACTACTACCAATTTGAATTTGTCATTTTCAGTTATATCTTTTGAACCTGTTTGTGCCAAAAGTGGAGCTGGGGGCAGACCTGGAAGAAAGTAAAGAAACATGTCAGGAGAGGCCGGACGTCGATCCGGCATAGACTCTCCGACGCTCAATTCAGTGTTTAAAGGTGGAGGCGAGAGAGATAGTGAATGGAGAGGAAAAGAGTAAAATGAGAGGCTTAGGGTTACCTGGTGGAAAATGTCTACCTTTTATATGAGAGAGATAAGCATGTGACGTGGCACTATAGGATTGGCTAAGCTGGTGAGATTTGTCTCTAACAATGCCCAATTGACGCGTGTCCAACGGTCAATTGTCTGTGGTGTGGCAGTGCAGCGCCGACTTCGCCTAGTGCACGTCAGAGCTTGACTGTGGAGGACAGCGTGTGTCTGAGATGGTGGCCCCAATTGACCCTAACACTTAGTCCCCCCTCCATCTAGTCTGAGTATTCAGACTAAGATGGTATGTGAGCAAGGATTTTGGAGAGTCTATAATTTTGGTGTGATATTTTGGTATAGTTTTTTAGCTTAGTGCGAAGGTGAAAAAATTTATTCGTGAGCCCAAACTTAGTACGTAAGTGAGGAAATTTAGGTGGACCAACGTGGTGGTATATTGTAAAACATATAACATATGTGGTTAGGTCGTATATATAGATAAATTGACATTCACTAGATGAACTTGCTAAATTTGCTTTGTCTTTGAGATATATGCTAAAAAAATTACTTATGATTTGGCCTGGAGTGAGTAGTCGAAGGCAATATAACTTGGGAGAGAAAAATAAATGATGACCATAGAAAATCCACCCATGAAGATAGGCTTTGCTTAATTAGCAAATTACCATGGATAATTCCCTTTAGTTGGGCATGTGAAATAGATGGGCCTTCCGAGGTTTATTGCAACATGAGATACAATGGTTAACAAGCATTTCGATGCATTAATCATCACAGTTCATTTTTTTTTGGTATGCATTGAGTTGATTTCATTTTCTATGCTTTTTAGTTTGATTTCATTCTCCTTGAATTTCTTTGAGGGCATTTATTTCCTTGAATCTTGTGCCATGAGGTGGCGCAGATCTGGTTTGTCTCGTATTTTCATGGCTGATTTCATCCATTCAATCTGCACAACTTTAACCTTCCCCCTCTATATATTCGCTCCTTTCTTCATACTAAGAGCCACTTTCATTCTTCTTAGAAATTTTCACCTTAGTTTTTCTCTTGGCAGCTCGATAGTTTTAGCATCAATCTAAACTGAGTGCCCAATAATTTTAGCGTCGATATAAGCTAAGAGTCCAATAATTTTAGCATCGATTTGAGCTGAGAGCCCAATAATTTTAGCGTCGATTTGAGCTGGTCGTCTTTGGTGGAGCATCAATTCAGGTTTGTTATCCAGGCCGATATCTGAAGCGTTGTTTTTTACTTACTTTACTCTTTTTTTTTTTGGGCGTTTTGTCTCAATCTTTTTCAAGGCTCTTGACCGACCTTAAGCCTATTTTGATTTAGCTCAGGTCAAATCTGATAAACCGTGGGTCTCGCTTATGTCAGCTTGGATCGAACCTGCCTCAGCTGCGCTCTATCCTAGTTTCTCACGATCCTCATTTTCTGTGTTAGGTATGTCCACCTCTAAAAGCTCTAGTTTTTCACATTCTAGTAGTTCGAGTTCGGACCTTAGACATAGTAGTGAGAATCAGTCTTTAGATTTAAGTACTGGTGTTTATTTACCTTCGGATCTAATGAAAATAACTTCAGCTTTGAAACACGCTGTTTCACCTTCTACTTGCATTAACCTCTTGACCCTTGAAGAATTAGATGTGATCCCACGTAAATATAACAACCCCGATGAGTATGATATTGATACTCCTAAGGAATCAGACAGGGTTACTGATGATCGGGGTAAGAATAAGATGTGGGTGTATCGTGACTCCATGGCTTCGGGCCTTAGGTTTCCTTTCCATCCCTTTGTTTCTGAGCTCGTTAACCATTACGGGCTTGCATTGAGCCAGCTGGTTCCCAGCTCTTGGCCATTAATAATGGGTTTCATAGCTTTGTGCATTGGTCTTGGGCACTCTGTCATGCTGAGTGTTTCTAAAGAGTTGTTTCAAATAAAGACTAGTCCAAAAGAAAAGAGTTGGTACTATGTTACGGCCTGAGCTATGAAGAAACTTTTAATAATGCCCCCAGTACCCAAGCCTTGGAAGTTGTACTTCTTTGCATAGTGACATATGGTGAATGGGGACTTAGCAATGCTCATGGTAAAATAAAGAATGAAACAGGTGAAGCCACTTCTCTTTTTGGCGAGGAGCTCCGTATTTATGATGAAATTAAGCAAAGTTGGGGAAATGCTAACCTTATTGACGTTGAGCTCTTAAGTCTTACACCACCTTGGGTTAGGAGGGAAACATGGTAAAAGTCTCTTGTTGTTATTATTATTATTATTATTATTATTCTTCTTTATCTTTGTTGAGTTTTGATCTTTGCTAGATATCATAGTAACTTGTTTTTCCCCTTGTCTCAGCCATGGCTGACAAGACCAATGAACGAGGGAAAAACAACAAGAATAAATTCAACATCTTTTACTACATTAAGTCCAGGAACAAAGGTGGTTCCAGTATTGTTGAATTGAATTCGAAATCTGACCAAGGTAAGAAAGTTTCTAAGAGGAAGGCGACAGAGCATGTGGACACGGTTGTGGCCTTTCTTAAGTGGCACCGTGACTCCGACGTGGGTGCAATTTTGCCAGGGAATGCAATGGTCCCCGAAGAGTGCATTGCAATGGTTCCCAAAGAGTGCACCTTATCTGCGAAGCTGCTGGAAACAGATAGTGCCTTCGAGAGTGCTTCAGTGGCACGAAAAATTGCTTCAGGCATGCTCGCTCCTGCTGGTAAGTTTATATTCGATTAACTTCATTTCTCTAAAAATAAATTCTTCTTGACTAGATGCACTTTGATGGTATTTGGTTTTGATGAAGGTCTTTGTGTTCTTGTAGATAAGGACAAGTTGAATACTCCTTGTTATGTTAATTCTTCTGCCAGCGTACATCACGCTTACTTAGCTTTGATGCACGCTTTGAAGACTGATGAGCAAGCTCGAGCTGAAATAAAGAAGGTAAGCGACTTTCAAGAGCAGAACTTTCAACTTAAAGAGAAGGTGAAGAAAATGAAGAACATTGAAGCTGAGGTGAAGGACTTAAGAGCAGAGGTGGCGAGCTTGAAGAAGAAACTTGCCGAGGCTGAGATTGAGAAAGGAAGAGCTGTCAGGGAGGCTCGATCAAATTTTCAGCGTACTCCTGAGTTTGTGGCTGCTGCAAAGGAAGCTAATAAGGAGGCAGTCATAGGCACCTTTGGGTTGTGCTTGGATGAGGTGCGGTACGTTTATCCAGACCTCGATCTCTCCATGGTTTCTCTCAAAAACCTGAAGACTGCACACGCTTATGGAGTTGAAGGGGATACTACTACGCTTGCCGCCGAGGTGAACGCAGTTAGTCCCACTCCTGAAGATGGTACTGAGCTGTGTGCAGATGGCATCCGAGGTGATGCTACCTCCTAAGTTTTACCAACTTATGTTCTTAGGAAACTTGCTTTTCCTCCTTTTTCTTTCTTCTTTTTTCGGTATTAAAACTTTATGCTGGTGTGTTATTTTGGATCCTAAGTAAACGTTTGTATGATGCTATGGAGCATGCTTCGCTGTATTTTGGAACAAATTGTTGCTCTTTTTTTTTTTTTTTTTTTTTTTTTTTTAAATCTTGAGCTTGGAACCGAGGTGAGCACGTTTAAGACCTCGAGCTTGGAATCGAGGTGAACGTATTTAAGACCTTTAGTCCGGGACCGAGGTGAACACATTTAAAATCTTGAGTTCGGATCCAAGGTGAATGCGTTTAGAACGTTGAGTTTGGAACCGAGGTTAAACATACCAATGAGAAGTTGTTAGCTTTGCTCTCCGGTGAAGTAGTTAAGAATTTTAGACGCATTTAAGGGTGTGAGCTTAGGATCGAGGTAAAATACGCAAGCGTAAAGCCGAAACATTGCTGGAACATTGCTTGAGCTTAGGATTGATGTTATAAAATAAACATTGCTGAGCTTCAAATAAGTTGTTCTTTTATTAGTATCGATGGCATGCTCTTAGAAATTCATCTATAGATTTTCTTTAGTGGGCATTTATCTTGTAAGGTTTTAGGAGTGTCATATCTGACTCGAATTTTGCAAGAGTTTTCAAATCACCCAGCTCGGTCCTAAGGTAAAGACTTTCGTAATCGTGTGGGCATACCAGGCCTCTAGTTCAGCACCTAAGTGAATAGCATAGTGCAAAGGAGGACTCGTAAAAAATATTTTCCTTAAAGTCGAGGTAGAAATGTTATGGTTACGTTCGGCTCTATGGTGGATATATTTCTCCATCCATAACTTTTTACTAAAATAGATACACGTTAATTTGACTCATAATCAAGGTAAAAACAAGACTTTTTAGCTTGATTC